ATTTAACAAATGACTCAAGACAAGGTCAGATCACAGAAGGATTGTAATGAATGAGTAAGTATACACTGTTTTAAAAAGTTAGATGGCACGAAATTCTATTTTACTTTAAGTATTTTATAAATTATTCGTAGAAATTTTATGAAGTATACTCTTTACGGATTTGAATTCCTTCCTACTCACAAGACCATTAAATGCTCAAGTAAGGTGGTTGCTGCTACCATCATATGAATAACTAGTGGGTTTATCTTGTCCTAACCGTGAATTCAATACGGGTAAAATTTTCTTACATACTGACAAATAAGCATATACATATGTCAAACACATTCTTTTAAGTAACAAAATTAGATGAATAAAATAATTATTCTTAGAAAAAAGAGGAAACTGCAATTTACCCAACCAAATCAGCTTCAAGAACAGCGTGCAGGAGCTCTGAACGAGATGGCAATGTCCTGTGAATTTCGGATGATGGAAATGGGGTATGTAGAAACCAGCCAACTTTCATTTTTCGGTTATAATTCTTTAAGCATTGCGGAAGAAACATAAGATGGTAATCATGGCACCAAACAACATCACCCTCTTCATAGTGTTTGTTCACAACATCGGCAAACATTTGATTTGCCTTCTGGTATGCTTCAAACTGAGATTGGAAACTACGTGTGGTAGCAAGGCGGTCTTCTTGTGGAAGTCCAAGGTAATGAAAAAGGGGCCACAAAATGTTGTTGCAATAGCCATTATAATATTGATGAACAATCTCTTCATCAAGAAATACTGGGATACATCTCTGCAACACAGGTAGCAAGGAAGAGGAACATTAAATTTAAAATATTAAAATTTACTGATGAAACAGCACAGAGGTAAATGCAAAAGTACTTCAAACATCGTAATGAAGAAAGTATATACCTTTTCGGCCAAAGCTTTTGTAAGTGCTTTTTGTCCAATCTCATCTGGCACGTTGACACCAGCCCAACCTATCCACCTTGCCTCCAAAGCTTTCACACCTTTGTAAAGAACTTGTGGTATTAGTCTATTCGTTATAAATTAGTGAACTAAGTTCATCGCAAAATGTAACAATTGCATACATAGGAACCCCCTTTCTAAACCCAATTACAGTTTAAATCATGAGGAACTTCCAGAGCACATACAGTATAACTTGAAAAATGATAAACCAAAACGGTAAGGACAGGGAACAAACACTCCACATACCTAAAAGAGCGCTCACGAGGCCCCCAGCACTTATCTCCAAAGACCAAGAATCCTCGCCTTTCCTAATTGCCGAGACCGGCAGCCTATTGGCGACCACCAAAAGCCGTTGTTTGAAAGGCCTCCCACCTTCCCTCTCGCCCCGTACTGCGGCGGCCACTTCTTCCCGTAACCGTTCATAGGAAGCAGCAGAGTTATTATCTTCCCTTAAGCCGGGGTCATGCTCAAAACATTCAGCAATCACATTACTACTATTAATAGTATTACTATCAGGAGCCTCATTCAAAAAAGATGTCTTGCCGCTTTTAAATAGCTCCCTTTGTCTCATAAGACGTTCAACACGATCCGGAATAATATTAGAATTACCATTGTACTTGTTCCCAGGCTTATGGTCACTCTGGAATCCAACCATTGACGTCGAATATCAATATATTAAGCAGTCAAACTTCCTCCCCTGCATTTCGTATGCAAACAAAATTACCAAACATCCCCAATTCAGCTTGTAATAAAATGGATTATAAGAAATTAAACATTATAACAAAATTTGCCAACACTGAAAACTAAAACTAAATACGGGCAACAAAGAGAAAACAGTATTCATGAAATTAAGTAAGGCAACATGAAAGGATGAAGAGGGTGGGGAAATAAGCTATATGACATTGGTTAGCTTATTTATGCAAATGGAATTACCGAATCTCAGGGCTTGGTACATTCATGGAAATGGAATACAAACAAGGCAGAGAAATGATAGCATATTGGAAATACTGAAGAGGTGTCCATCTGAATCAAGTAATAGAATAGTGAAAATTACAGGAAGGAGTTCAAAAGGCCAGCTCAGGAGACGCCTCGGAAATCAGCGGTGAAAGCAAACAAAAAATTCTGGCTTAATGAGTCAATTTTCCAGCTGGGTGAGGGGAAAGGGTTTAAGTCAGATAATGCGGGTACGTAGAGAGTGGGCAAGCTGCAGACTCAAATGGTAAAGAATTAACAGTGAGGGATGAAAACAAAGAGAGAGAGAGAGAGAGAGAGAGAGAGAGAGAGAGAGAGAGAGAGAGAGAGAGAGAGAGAGAGAGAGAGAGAGAAAACGGTAGAATCCTCGTGTTAGCTCTATAAGGCATATATAGCCTCACTGCCATGCAGGTGACACCGAAGATTGTGTTGAAAACAGAAAGAAAATATTTTACTCAGAAAAGGAGATAATTTATTCAGCAGAATACAAAGATGATATTTTACACTCTTTCACAGTCAGGAGCGTTTAATGCAAAGAAATTTTTAGTATCTACAAAATATAAAATAAAAATAACATTTTTAACAAATAACATTTTCTTTTTTTCTTGTCAGGTTTTAAATAAAATAAAATTTTAATAGCTATATGAAACTAACTTTCTCATATTAAAATACAAAATTCACTAAAAAATATTATGCTAATTTTATGAAATCATTTAATAAAATAATAAGTAAAAATATTTTAGTAATAGGTAACACGTTACTTTTTTAATTTTTAGAAAGTTTATATAAATATTACCAAACGATACCGTTATCAAGCCAATTTAGTCACTCTTAGATATCATAATTTTGAAAATTCATGTTTTCCAGAAATAATAATTTTCATGTAACTAAATTATCTTGTGAGCATTTTTGTTTTTTTTCATATTTTTATTTAAATTAAAGAGATGCAAATAAATTAAGCTTTTAATTTTAATTTTACAATGAGTCTTAGCATGGAAACTTACCAAATGATAATTTTCAAATTGAGAAACTGGAATTCCCTTACTCAAATCCTGTTATCTGAAAAAAAAAATAAAGGCATAAGTAAAATATTAAATATATATATATATATAATTAAATTAAAATTATTCACGATCATGGTTATTAATTGTTAATTTTATAATTAATAAACATTACATTTTTCTTTTAATAGACTCTTGATTTTAGAAGAGTAAAAGCAGCACTTTTATTTTGTGTTAGAAGAAAGTTAACCTATCAATTACCTTGTGAAGCCAGTTTTGTAACATAAAAATAAATTTAAGGATATTTAATTTTAATTAGTTTTATTTAAAATTATTTAATTTTCTAAAATAATTTGTTCAAAGACGAGTTAAAATTATTAATTTAAAAATTTTTATTTGTATAAAATATTTTAATTATTATAGAATAAAAAATTATTATTAGTAAGTATGTGAATTACCCTCCATTCATAAAATTTGACTTTTATCGGATGGATTAAATTATATAAGATTGAATCTAATAAAGATTGTTTATTATAAGCGGGTTGATAAGTTAGATTGTATAGAGATAAATAAGACTGTATTGGAATGAGTCAAGTTAGATGAGATAAATTTAAGAAAGATCAAGTTAATAAATTAGGTTGAATTACATTAAATCAGAAAAGGTGAGTTAAGTAAAAATGAGATTGAGACAAGTTAAAATGTGACTGGTCAATTCAAATAAAAACAAGATGTGTTGGATCATGAAAAAATAAATTTATATTAATAAACTTGTTTCAAATGGAGATAAAATCATTTAGGTCAGGCCAAAACAGAGCAAAATGAGAAGATTAGTAGATATGTTTAACTAACTTAATCAAAATGAGTTTATTTGAGGAAGGGTCTAATATTATAAATTGGTTTTTTTTTTCATAAAAGAAATTTTTTTTTCAATTTTTATAAAAAAATATTTTTTTTATATACAATTTTGACTTCTTTTTCACTTTTCTTATGTCATCTTCTTGATTCCATAATTATTATCCTCATTCATCTAAATTTATTTTTAAATTAAAATTATTAAACAAGTCATTTTTTCTAACTTATTTATAAAATTAATTTTTCAAAATTTAATCCTAAAACTATTTCTAAAACCTATAAAACTAAACTAAATTAAATAAACCCTCAAACTTTAATTTTTAAACTTTAACAAAATTTTAAAAGGATTCTCTATATTTATGGGTGAATTTAGAGTATTTTAAAATATGTAAATTCAATAATTTAAAATGTAAAACTTTAATAATAATAATAAAAAAAACATTGAAGTAAGAGTGCACAAGATTCAAATATCTAGACTGCAACAAACATTATTTTGGGGGTGGGGGAAGGGAACATAGATAGGAAGATGTCACAAGCATAATGGGAGTCACCCACCAATAAATACTACCAACATCACATTTAATTTAACCCCTATGACTTTTTATTTCATTAAATTTTCAATTATTCTTTAAATCTTTTGAAACTCTTTTAATAAATTTTGAAAATATCACACGTGATGCTGACAATGACATCATTAATCGATAAGACCAATTATTTAGAAAATAAATATTTTATTATAAATTATGTATATGAATTATTTACAAATTAATTCAAATTATTTACATAAATAATTTTAGTATTTTTAAGTAACTCTGTTAATCATTCTCTTTTTTTAATATTTAAGAACCAAACACATTTTTATTCACTGTATCAATTTATTAATTTATGATTATCAGTTAGATGATAACTAATGTGAAAATAGTATATTTTAAACATCACATCATCAACTAACACATCATTAATAAAATTCGTGAAGAAAAAAAAAACTAAAAACATGAACAAACCAAATTTATATAATTATAATACTTGTGCATGGTTAAAACCTTGCCTGAGAAATAAAAATAAAAACTCCTTTATTACAAAAGTATGAATTGTAATTAAGATTAAAAAAAATTGTAGTTATATCAAAATCAAATCAAGCACACCAACACAACCAAAAAAATGTTCGCTGAAGCTAACGGCAACGTTTTGGTACAGTTTGGATCTACGTAGAGCGTGATGCAATGGTTGCAGTACACGTGGGAGAAGTCATTGATGAGAACGAGTGGTTTTTTTGGGGGGTTTGGCTTCGGCGTAGATTATTTAGCAGAGGAAGGGGGCGGCGTTGGAGGACTCTCCCTTGGGATTTTTGTGTTTGCCTTGAGTGATGTTGAGGATGCGAACTTCGTCGTAACCATCAGTGTCGAAGAGGTTGATGATGAGAACCAGGTGGAAACATCTTGGCGTTGCTCCCCGGAGATGGAGTTTGACTAGGTGGCGTCTTTGAAGGAGATCAGCGTGATAAAGGAGGAGGAAGTGGAATCATCCACATCAGCCACTTGCATGGACTGAGGAAGAGGAACGGTGACGGGAACAAGAACTAACGGTTGTTCTTGTGCAACTTTGTTTCGTAGTTGAGAGATGTCGCTGACGGAGTCATCACTGCTGGCAGGGCAGAGATTCTGGATTCAATATTTGGAATTAGGGTGGGGGCCTGATGGTTGGGTCAGTTGGAGGAAGGGTGGAGGAAGGGTGGGATGAATTACAGGGAAGAGGAAGACCAGAGAGGGTGGGATGGATTAGAAGGAAGACAATTAAAAACCTTTAGGGATTTTTTTATAAAACAATCTATTGTTTTGTGAAAATTATTTTAAAGTACTTTAAATTTTTAAAATATGAAGTTAAACCTTTTCAAATATAAGCGTCAAGATAAAATACTATTTTTATAATTAATTTAAAATGAAAGTATATAAGTGAAAGATAATTTTGATGTTAAAATCAATTTTTAATTGAATTATACTTAAATCATATGTTAAAAATTTCAGAGTGATATAATAAAATTAAAATATATAAATAGAAAACAATTTTTACTTTATAGTTTAATTTAATTATGTAAAATTGATTTGTGACTACAGATGTTTATTAAAGTATATAAATAGGATACTATTTTAGTTTAATAAACAAATTTGGTTAAATTGAGTTTGCTTAAATTCTTTTTTTTTAAATTAACTCATACAAATATTTTATCATATTTTAGTAAATATACATGTATTATAAGTAAAATATAAATAGTTAGAAATTATGATATACATTCATCATTATATTATGATAAATTTAAATATATTAATTAAAATGCAAGTGAATTTAAAATATATTTATAGATAAATAAATTCATACATTTATTATTTGATAATTAATTTTAAATATATAATATTGTATTGAATTATAATAAAGAATTTGGTTTAATATTTAATCGAAGATCATTCATAAAAATAATGATTTTGAATATTTTAAAACCATTTTGAATTATTTTTCTGATAGGGTTTATTTTAAATATGAGTGTAGTAAATAGTAGAAGCGGATATCCAAAACAAAACTAAGAGAAATAAAACTAGAAAATTAGAGATAAGGAATATGAAAAACATGAGAATAAACCATATTGCATTTTGGTGGAGGGAAAAAGGAGGAAAGTTTGTATTTGCTTTGTTAAGGTGTCTTTTGGGGAACCCGGGACCCATAAGTAGCGTTACAGGATTAACCATTAAACCAGGCTAGAGAACAAAAGTAGTAATTATTAACAGAAGATTTGCAGCTTTTTTTAAATTTTCTCTGCCAAATGAAGGCAAAGGGTATTCACGTTATTATTAAATTGCTGTAAGCAGAGATACGAGATATCTAACTTTTAAAAGGAGTGGCCACCCGTAAAAGACACAGACGATGACAAGGGAATTCCAATAAACCATAGATTTGTCAAACGTGCAGCGCGAGTAGGGTGGTACCACAAATTTTATGGCCCGTACACAAGACATCTAGAAACTTTGGCCCAATATCTCATACCTACTGTCATGGAAATCTGAATAATCCAATATGGGGCCGATGTTAAAAAAAAGAAAAGATCACATTTTTCAAAAAAATAAATACACAAATATTATATTCCTTCTATTGTTATAAGTTTGGAGAGATTCCAACGTCTACGTTTACTCTCTTTCTCTATAGAAACAAATTCTCTCAAATAGGAAAACAAACTTCGGATTTTCAAATATATTTACATGACTATCTCTATTTTGTTTTTCTCTCCTTTCAACTTTAATTCACCTTAAAAAAGGGTGAAGCTTTATTAGATTAGATTTTTGCAGTGTTGGAATCGGAATGTGTCACTACTACAAAATATACTTTCTACGTCGTCATTTAACGTCGGTTATAGCTGAGATCAGTTATAGCTGAGACGACGTAGAAAGTACTTTCCACGTTGGTTTCTAGATGAACCGACGTTGAAAGTTGAATATTAAACACATTCTACGTCGGTTCTTAGTCAACCGACGTTGAAAGTCTTTTTTTTTAATTTTTTTTTACTTATTGACACTTTTCACGTCGGTTCCCATATGAACCGACGTGGAAAATCTTTTTTTTTTTTTCACCCAAAAACTCACTTAAATTTGAAAATTGTCATTGGCAGGATTCGAACCCAATAGTTTAGAGTTGAAGACTGACACTCCAACTACTTAAGCTACTTAGAATTTTCCGATAATAACTTACAAATAAATTATATTTATATACAAATAAATATATATTCATGTAAATATATTTTTATTTGTATATATTTTCTGGAAAGTATTTTTATTTTTATTTTCAACCAAAAATTCTCTTAAGTTAATGAATTGTCATCGATAGCATTTGAACCCGAGTATTTTAGGGTTGAAAGTTAATATCCCAACCACTAAACTACTATAATTTTTTGATAATAACTTACAAATAAATTATATTAGTATTTTTCGATCGAGGGTGAAAGTGTGATTGACTCTTGCTTGAGTGAAAATATGTTAAAGCTCACGGAAATTCACTTACTCAAGTCTCGTCTGAGCGAAAATTTGTATTTTTCGCTTGAGAGCAAATAACGCGTTTCCCAAATTTATTTTATATCATTATATAAATAAAATTATAAAGATTATATTACGTCATTAAATTACAAACTCATATAAAGATACCTGCTCACAAATTTAGCATCAAATTTTGAAAACCCACTCGACACACACTTTCACTTTCGAGTGTGCCCTCACATCCAACATATAAATATATAACTATATAAATATATCAAAATATATAAATATATTTGTATTTATATATTTACACGGATATATATATTTATTTGTATATAAATATAATTTATTTGTAAGATATTATCGGAAAATTCTAGTAGTTTAGTGGTTGGAGTATCAGCCTCCACTCTAAAATATAATATAAAGAGAGGGGAGACTTCTAGATAAATAAAAGGGGTAAAGAGGTTGTAAATAAATAAAAATTATTAATTTAAAAAATCATACTTTCAACGTCGGATTATTAGGACTTTCAACGTCGCCTGATATAACGTCGATTCATCAACCGACGTTGAAAGCCTTCCAGAACCGACGTTCAAAATTTTATTTGTAGTAGTGTGTGAAACACAATCTTGAATAGATATCTAAGTTGTCTATACATGTATAAAATATCAGTATCCTTGTATCATTGTAAGAATTCCCTCTTGCAACTGTAGCATGTCTCAGTTTCAAGTAAAACAACAAAAACATATATCTACTAATATTGTTTATATGTATCCCAATTATAGAAAGGATGTGTCAACCCAAACATAGGGGATATCTTTCTTATAAAAATGAAACCAGCAAGCCGTCTAAGCATGTCCTTTTTTGGTAAGAACCGTATAAAGCACTTTGACAAGCTTAACACAAGTACACTTTTGTCGTGGAAAGGACATTTCAGGATGGAGAAATCGTTCTAATTCCATAAATATTTTTGGATAATAACCCACTCATGCTACTTTACTGCTGTTTTCTCAAGAGAATTTCAGGAATTAAGATAAAATGAGAAAGAAGGAGCTGACGAAAGAGAGATGCGACTGGCTTGACTTCCTTAAGAAAATACTGAGAATAATAAAAGGACAGTTTTTAGCACAATAATCGAACAAGGAAGGAAGTTGCAAGTATATGATGATGACCAAGAAAGAGAAAGTTGTTCCTTTCCTATTTTTTTCAAAAGAAAACTATTTCATAGTTCGCAGGCACCAAAAAAGAGAGAAATGTAAATTCCACAGGTAATATGGTGTGATACGAAGAAACAAAGTAGCGAGAGATAAGGAATGTTTTGGTAAATACTTCCTTTATCTTATAACCTCTTGAGTTAAATGTCCATCACATTTGGAGGTGGATTGAGATTAAAACAAAGAGCAAAAACAAAAGTTAGAGGTGTTGCGTGTTGTAACTTGTAACAGACAAAAGAAAAGAGAAGAGAAACACACTTGGTGTATATATGAAGAGCAAGTGGATGCTTGTTTATAATTTATGTGTGCCACATGATATTGATTATAAAATAATTGATGTGATAAAAAATGTAGTAGCATTTTGGTCAACGAAAACTAAGTTGAATCATTATAATGGCAATTTCTCTAACAACCAATGTTATATGTAAAATATTATAGGAATTAGATTAGTATTCGATGTAGAATGCAATCATCAAATATTCTAGTACATCTTATCATTGTCTATGTTTCGTGATAACAATTCTCGACTCACTAATGTAATATTAGTTCCCTTCCTCTTCTTGTCAAGCTTCCTCTCTCAAGCTCCTCTCTCTCGCACCACTTTCCTCGTGTTCTCTCCTCCCTGTGTCGCTCCTTCCTCATGCCCAACCCTCTCTCCAACCTTGTCTTTTCCCAAGGTTACATTCCAAATTATATATATATTATTTTTCAATTATAGTTTTTTACTGATTAGATATTAATTAGTGTTAAAATTAAACTAATTATTATTAATACATCTAAATTTAGTTGGTCGAACATTACTTGTCTTTTATAAATTGCTGTACCCTTATTGTAGTTTGTTAAAAAGTCTCAAAAACATAAGAGACTTGGACTAATTGCATGAATTTGATCAAGCAGAAGTTTAGAATTAAAAAAAAAAAAAAACTAAACTAAATATACAATCAACGTTGGATTCGTGAATCCCAGTATAATATTTAAATCATTCTTTACATTAAAGCATAAATACAACTCACACATCATATATACGTCGCATTATTAATATATTATTATTGATAAATATGTTTAATTTAAATCGAATGGTTATTTGTCAAAAAGATAATAATATCATGTAATTTTGTTAATTACACAAAAAGTCAAACAAACATGTAAATTATAGTGTTCTTAAATTATTAATCACTTCCTTTTTCCTAATGTTATGGACATATGTAATAACTTGAAAGATGAATTCAAATCATTTTTACATCACCTCTATGTCATAAAGTATTTTATCTGCTTAATGTATCAATTAAAATATTTTTTAATATTATTTAAAAAGTAACTTAGTTAAAATTAATATATTAATATAATAAATGACAAAGAAAATTTAAATGTGATTAGCAGTTGATGTAAATTATATGAGTGTTATTCTAGTCAAAGTTATCATGAAATTGAAATTAGCATATAAAAAATCTCCTTATTTTTTAATCTAACCCTAAAAGTTGAGTTAATTTGTTATCATATTAGTTTTTTCTATTGGCTCGAGTTTTAATCATTTAGTGTCATACGTTTTTAGTAGTTTAATTTTCAAGACGTGGGATATGGTGTAACAGACTCTTGTTAAGCAAATTTCTAGGATAATATGATTTGTTAAAAAAAAAATCCTTTAATCCCAAGTTTTTTTCATGGATGAGATTCAATCAAGTAGGTCAAACAATATCCGAGTACATTCAAACACTACAGTACAAGTATTATGAATTGTTAGATACAATAATAATATATTTTAAATTTAAATATTATATATTATTAATTATTATATCATAATTTTAAGATTTATTAAGTTAAAATGTTACACGTTAAACTTCTAATTTTTAATTTAATTTTGGTGTGAAAAATCATTTAGTTGAGATAAGATTTTTACTGCTCAAATAAAAAACATAAAGAGTTACAGGAGAGAGAAAAATATGAAGGAGATTAAATTCAACAACAAAAAGTAAATGGAATAACAAAATTGAGGAAAATAAAGATATTAAGAGTGTTAGTTTAATTGTATAAAATTTTGTATATGGATAGTGTTAATTGTTACACCCAGCTATGTCCTTTTCATGCGTCTACAGGCTATACCTTATACCGCAGCTCCTGAACTAAGAGATAGTATATTAATTCATCAGTTTATACTTTTTTTCTGAGGCAGTGGCAGTCAACTTGCTTATGTCTCTGCTCTCATTACTGGTCTAAAAGATCCATTGGATAATTGACTATCAAGATTTTTATTCTCTCCAGCAGTATACCATCACGCCCTATCAAATTGAAAATGTATGAAATGAAACGGAACAGACTTTTTTGGTACGGAAGTAAAAGAAAAGAAAGAAAAGTACCAATGTGAGCCCGGTGAAAGAAAAGATACCAGACAAATAATCTACCTACAGTTTTCCCATTAGTAACCTGAAGGGGAGGAACTAATTGCAGAATTAATCTGTACCTCAGTACCAAGCAATAAGGACTACAAATGTTTTGTGTCTGACTATTCTCATATGAAAGAAAATAGATGAAATCAATAAAAATTATTTATTGTTAATAAATTTTTTATTATTTATTAATATTTATATTTTTTTAATTATTTATTATTAATATAAAAAATAATAATAAAACATTTATAATCTATCAGATGATCAAATTTGAACTAATATTAATAACTTAATTTTGTATTTACTTTTGAATTTATATTAATTATGACTTTGATCTCTTAATATAAAAAATATTCTAATTCATAAAATATGTGATTTTAATTATTGATATGAAAAATTGCAAGAATAAAATAATTTTTAATTCATTAAATTCAATGTTTAAGAATTAAATCTTTAAAAACCAATATAAACTTTTTTTTAATTTAGAAGACTAAAATATATATTCTTTTAATTTAACAGATTAAAAAATTATAAATTTTAAAAACTAAAAATATAATTAAACTCATTTTAAACACATAATCTATTATTTCATTTGAGAGCAGAGAAATCTCTCTCGCCTTTTTTTCTTTCCTCATTTCTTCACTATATTCACTCAACCAAAACATATATGTGATGTTTAGACTAAAGTAAATAAGTTGAAAATAATTTTGTTGGTTCAAAACACCAATATTTCTTTGTCATTTTTTATCTTCTAATTCAAGAAGTATCTAATGAAATTCTCTGAAACACGTTCCTAACTTCTACCTAAACACAGACAAGCTACTATAATAATTAGGATTTTCTATAAAAAAACACTCTCCCATTACTACCAATAATAGATGGACAGATTATGCATTGTCACGTATAATTTACGAACAAACTATTTGTAACTAACTAATCTATCTTATAGAAAACTGAAGCAACCTCAACTATAACTTTTTCAGGGTCCATCATTCCTGTCATCCACAAACTCTACCACATGGGTGCCTGAGTGAGTCACATGTGCTGCTTGATCTACAGAGAAACAAGAGCCATCTTTAACTTAAAAGGCCTATCAGAAGTCATGGCCCCGATTCACTTCTACCGCTTCTTTTCCACATTATGATATCATAATACAATGTTTCCTTTCTCTTTTAAATATCCCATTATATCCTCTACCCACACACAAAGGAATGCCAAATCACTAACCAAACAAGTTTAGCGTAGTAAAATTACAAGGTCATAAAAGCATCTAAAAAAAGTGGCTAATTTCACCGGAGATGCTCTCTGAGTACAAAGAAGAAGAAAAAAACTAACATACATCCTAGGGGACCACAAACCCGCTAATGTGACGTCACCTCTGGTACTCTTGTTCCAATATCTACCAAAATATCTACGGAGAGAAGCTCCTATAAACATTTCCACGCAATTTGATCATAACTGTCATCTGGTTTATTTATCATTATCTTCACAAAGGCTTAAGTAACTCGTAAAGATGCCTCTAACAGAAGAGTTTACGTTTCTTTCCAATAAGGGATAATTTAAATTCACATAAAGCAATAATAACCCAACATACTTACAAATTTCTCCATTAAAATTTGCTAAGCATGAAAATTGCATTTCACTCATCTAATAAAATCAAACTAGAGGACCTCATGCAAAATACAGAGATACAGCGAACAAACAAACAAGATAGTTTCTGTTGTCATTTTGTTTTCATTTTCGTTTTTATTTTCAATTTTCGTCAAATTTTCTCGATATCAAAGGAGGAACGAACTTGTAGTTCTCACTATCGCTGTCGTTCTAAATTCGTACAAAACAAGTCAACGAGAGAAAGATCGTCATAAAAAAATTAGGTCGCGAAAATTAAGAAACGCAACAATTCAAGCGCTTCGTTGGATCTAACTCTCCGATTCAAACACCTGGTAATCATATCATAGAGAAAAAAGAGAGAAATCTGACCTGAATGACGCGAAGTTCTAGAAAGTATGAATGCTTTTTCTTCTTCTTCTTCGATGAAGAGGTTCTTCTTCTATAAGAGGTTCAGCAGTTTTGCGAAGAGAGAAAGAGAAGGAGGAATTGAGGGTTCTTCTTCTGAAAGGAAAATAGAGAATCGGAAGGATTTATATAGAAAAAGGAGGAAGAAAGAGAGAGAGTGCGCATTTCGCAGACATGGAATCGTCATTCGTCACGAACGCATTCCTTTTGGCGGGGCAGAGAGGTGTGGGGGGCGGAGTAGAGTAGAGTAACCCTGCTTTGCTCCTACCCAATCAATTGGAGGGAATTTGTTCTTCTTTTTATTATTATTTTAAAAGTTTAAATTTCCTTTTTCTTAATCATGTTTATATTTAAAAACACGAATCTATGGTTCTCGCACGTGAGTTCAAAAACTTACAAAAAGATAAACAAAATACATAATTGTTTTCCTGCACTTTCAAATTTGGTGTACGACATGTACCTTTTATTTGAATAGTCAATAATATTAGTGTATTTTATATTACTTTTTCAGTGAGCAATACAAATACACAATAATTAAAGCTCGAAAAAAAATACAATTATCCAAATTGTATTTATATTCATGGCATAAAAAATAAATTTCACAAAGAAAATCATATCTATACTTTTCAATTTAATCAAATATTTATAATTCAACAACTTTTGAGTAATAATTTACAGACAAACTATACAAAGGAGCTTCCAATTATGTATATAAAAAAGAATTGATTAAAGGAGAGTAAAATTAGAAGGGTGAATAAAATATTCGAAGTGTAGAGTGTTACATATCACTATTTTACAAAAAAATGCACTTTCCACGACTGAATTTATTCTCTTTCTCTCTGGTTTGTTTTATGCGTAAAATAATTAAATAGTGAAAACAGAAAGTAGTAGAACAACCATTGGAAATTCCGAAGGGAGGGTTATGCACAATGTGTTTAGGACATATTCTTTTTACTTTACAACTTCAACATTCTTTTGTTATGTGCCTTGGGATGCCTCGTAAGTGCACAAGTTGGAAGAATGAATCTTGACTTATGTGTTATTTTTGTTGTAAAAGGCAAATTTTATTTCTTATATAATCATTGTCCTTAAAGATTTATTTATGATGTATTACGCAAGTTTTCCACGATACAACAATAACTTATCTGAATATCCTAAGATCTCAGAAACTAGTAAGAAACTCTCAAAAGATTAAATTAACCCAGGATAACATAAAGAATATCATAAAAAAGAAGAAGAGATAGGTGTTTTTGAAGAGTGTGAAGTAGGGTCTCTATTTATAAGAGAAAATCTGTAGCAACGTTATCTGAAACAGTCTCTGCAAAGTTCTCTAAAACAGTCTTTTTTGTAACGTGTGAGAACACGAAATGATCTTTTGCAACGTTCTCTGAAACAGTCTTCTGCAACGTGTGTGAGAACACGTAATCTAAAACGGTCTTCTGCAACTTTCTCTGAAACAATCTTCTGCAATGTGTGTAAGAACACGTTATCTGAAATGATATTCTGTAACGTGTAAAAATACGTTATCTGATTTGCAATACCCCTTAATTTACAACAATTTTTTTTATGATTATCCCATGTACCAAAGTGACTACATATTAATAAGCACCAAATTCGTATTATATATTTATAGAATGAAAATTTATGTGATAGAATAAAACTTGGTTTTCAACCACCGTTTCATTGTTTGAATTATTTTTTCTTTTTGCTGTTTTGGAGCAATGTCTTCGTCATCCTCAACTAAGGTCCAATAAATACGAAAAAAAAAAATGGTCCAAATGGATTCTTTTTAGTGAAATTTTTAAAATGATTAAACATATAAAAAAAATGTCTAAATTGATTTAATTGTATATCTATATCTAGTCAATATGACATGTTTGTTAGAAATTTTTGCGATATACATTTATGTCTCATAATTAATTTACTTAACTTAAATTTATATTTAATCAAGAGAATAGGGAAGTGGTCTAAGCATATATGGATCATGGTCGCTTAAAAAAATTAATTTATGTAATTCGTCCCTTATAAGTTTTTGTCTTTAATTTTACCCTTTTAGGAATTCACCTCTATAACGTACAAAATATATTTTTTTTCTTTTTTATTCATAATGAAGACATGGAGTATTAGAAAAAAAAACTCCAAAAAGCAAAGAAACCAAGTAAGTATTTTTATTTTTGTATTGTTTTTTTTTTCATGATTATAACATATTAGTATGAATATTATTTGTTCTCAATTAATTAATTGTTTTAATATTTTTCTAAAAAAAGTTAAGCCTTAAAGATATATAAGAAAAAAAACTACAAAATCATTTTCTTTTCTAAAAAAATAGATAATAAAATAAATTATAGTTTATTAAATTTAAATTTGTCAAGTAAGTTAAAAATATTGATAAAAAACCTGCACTATAATTATTTTTTATAATATCAATATCAGTAAATATAATTTAAACATATTTTATATCATATCTTTTTAATATTTATATTCAGTCTTTATTATATACTATCAGAATACTTTTAATCAACAATATTTTATCCATATATATTAGAAGTAAAATTAAGAAGATACTCCCTAAAAAATTAATTTTTTTTTTAAAATATGTTAAATGAAGGTATTTGGCTTACTCAGTTAAGAGGGCATATTATAGTGGAGAACTACAAATTGAGGGAAGTTGGGACTCTGAAAGTCACGCTAGGTTCTTGTTCTAAATTGGTACAATTTTTTTAAAGAATTTGTTGAAATGATAAATTTAAAAAAATAAAAATAAATCGTACTATAAAAAAAAATAGAGGAAACTTATTTTATAATACAATTTCAAATTTAAATATATTTCTTTAAGAGATGTATTTTATAGCACGAGTTCAATGTAAACAAAATATTGATATCGTATTATATAAATATAGTTTTTATTTTTATATTTTCATATTTTTAATATTCTTATTTTATTATAATTAATAATAAAATAAATAAAAATAATTATGTTTATATTATTAACATAATTAAAAGTAATATTTCTGTTAATATTATTTAGTATTATTAAAATTAAAATATTATTAATTATAGTTATATTGTTTTTTAATAATATTATTTTATTATTAGTACTAATATTAGTATTTATATTACTATATTATTATTATTATTTAAATTACTAATATTATTTTATAATTAATACTATTACCAATAATATTAATATTATCTTATTAATATTATTTATTAATGAAAATATTTATTAATTAGTTAATAATATAAACATAATTATTATTTATTTAATTATTAATTATAATAAAATAATATTAAAAAATAAATAATAAATAAATATTTACAAATATTAATATATAACAAATATTATTTTGATTATTATTATTTGAAATAATCATAATAATAACCATTAAAATATAAAAAATTGATGTTATATTATGAAGTATAACTTTAATATTTTATTTATATTAAACGGGTGTTAAATAATATGACTCTTTTTCTAAAACTAAAAGAATTTAAAAATGAATTAGTGTTAAAAATACGAAAAAAAAACGTATATTTTAAAAATTGATTTATTTATATAAATTTTTAAAAAGTTGGATCAATTTAGTAAAGAAAGAGGGAGTCACACTCTGTGAAATGTTACGTATCAAAGGTGGTGCGATAGTGCGGAGGAGGTTTTTCTCATATTCATAGGTAAAAATTACATATTTAAGTAAGCAGTTAAAATAAAAGAAGTAAATTTTTAGTGTGATTTTAATTTTTATATTTTTTTAATAATAATAATAATAATTTTTATTATTATTATATAATTTTTATTAATATTTTTTATATTATTAATAATAATATAATTATAATTATTAGTATTATGATCTTATTAGTAATTATACAAATAATATAGATATAATTATTATTATTTATTTATTTTATTAATTATAATTATTAAATATAATAATGAAATAATAAAAATTCTACAATTAATTATTATAAAAATAATGTGTATTACTATACTAATTAATAATAATAATTTTAATATACTTTATTATTATTTATTTCATTCATATCATTTTACTTATAATAAATAATAATAATTATTATTATTCTGTTATTATTAATAAAATAATAATTATAAGTATTCAATTTTTAAATACTATTTTATGATTAATATTAATATTATTTTAGTATTAACAATAAAAAATAATAATTATTTTATTAATAATATAAATTTTTTATTATTTTGTTAAAATAATTAAAAAATAAATAAAAACTATAATTAACTTTAGGTATAAATATGAGTTACTGGAGGGAAAAAGAGAAAAAAAGAAAAAAAGTAAGAGAAAAAAATGAAATATAAAAGGGTGTTATACAAAGCAATTTTTGTACCGCTGAATTTTATTTTTTCTAACAAAAACCAACTGTGATTACTAACATGTATAATATATATATATATATATATATATATATATATATATATATATATATATATATATATATATATATATATATATATATATATATATATATATATATATATATATATAATGGCATTATTAAGATTGGAATTTAGACCACTTAATTAAAATGACACATAATATTAATTATACCAACTAATATTTCTTAATATAAGATATTATTTAAAGATTGATCAACTTGTGTTAATTGTATTACTTTTTTTTATAATTCTATTTTATATCATCAATATATTTTATAATTATATTTTAAATAAAACGTGTCATCTTTAATATATTAATTTTCACATAATAATTCTATTAAAAAATATCTAAAATTGAATTCCTACTCCATAAACTAAATTTCTACTTCAAACTCAAATAGAACTTTTAATACACTATTAATTTACACTTATTATTATATTTTGATAGTACAATATTAGTAGTATAATAAAACTTTGTATATTTGGAGCATAGTTGTTACTGTATACCAATAAAGATGAAAACTTCTGTGAGTTGGCAAAATATTATAAAATTAATTATCCTTACTTCTCATCCTAAGCCATTTCAAACCAAACTTGTCCCAAATTTTGGAGATTAATGTGAGACCTCTCATGAACAAGAGAGGAAACAAGTTATTGGGAAAAATTGGAAATTATCTCTGTTTGCAGGAAGTTGAAGGACATAGTTTAAGAACCCCAAATGAATAGGGGGAGAAAAAAAAAAAACACATTTTTTAGTCACATGCTACAAAAATAATGGTAAGTGAAGGACAAAGGTACACTCCATTACACTAAAAAGATCATACATGTTATAATGAGATGGGGATACATTCAAAAAGGTTCTAGACCCACAACCCAACTAAATAAATCCCCTCCAAAGGAAAACAACAACAACAAAGTTTACCAAATTGTCAAAAAAAATGTCGGAATCTAAAAACATGTTTGGATTATTGTCTGCAAAGTTTAATTTGACTCAACTGTTTTTTTTTTTAAGTATGTCTATAGTTGTTCTTTTTTAATTTTCTAAATTCAAATATAGTTATCTAGAATGATTTTGTATTATTTTTCCACTTGAAAATACTTCATTTTTATCCTCAACATGACTTTAGTTAACTAACATTTATATTCTATTTTGAGTGATACTTAACTCAAATCATTTGTGTAAGATCTTATATTCAAATATGAAAAAAAAAAGTTACGCAGACTGAATTTGAATTTTATTTGGACAAACTTCTACATTCATTATTTAATAAAAAAACAATAAATTAGCTTATATTTAAATGTCAAAGTTTTCTCTAATATTTTAAAATGTACACATAAATTAATTTATCTTGTGAAATTTTCTCTAAATAAAAAACTTAAAAAGTTACTTTACTTAAAAGAATTTTTAAATGATAATTCATTTTTTAAATTAGATACAACATTTAAAAAGAAATTAAAGTTTTAAGAATTTATTATCCAAATTTAATTAGGTAAAATTAGAGATTTTTCAATTTTATATAAAATGTGAGAATTTAAATTTTTTTATCCCTTTCCGTTTGTTAAATTTATAATTTTTTTATTTTTTTCTTGAATTCGATTTCAATCCAATATTTTTTAATCTATCAATCTAAGTTAATCTGTATTAAACAACCTAATTTAAATTTATCTACAGTGACCTAACTTAATCCATTATGAAATTGATTTATTCAAATAAGTATTTTCTAAGTTAACCTAACCTTGATTCTTCATGACTTGATTAACTCAACCTAACTCCTTTTTACCAAATTTGATCCCTCTCAACTTAATATGTTTCATCTCAATTCATATTGTCTTTTCTTAACTTGATCGACTTAAAAATGACAAAAAATATGTGTATATGTAAATATCAACTAATAAAATCACCACAAATTCTAAAAAAATATGTTAAATGAACACTAATAAATAATAAGTATGAGTATTTTAATTATTCACTTATTAATGAAACAGTACATGTATCATAATATTTAAACTACTTACTAATAACTTTTATTTAATATTTAAAAAAAATAAAGTTATCAAAATATTTATGAATATTTTTATTTTAATACAAAATATTCACAAGTATTATTAATACCTACAAATATTTGTTAAATTGATACTTCACTAGTAGTAAGCAAATAATTTTTTTGTTAACGGGTTTGGTAGATACTATTCGTACTCAACCCCCTCATTATCATACTTAGATCAACCGATAGACCCAATATAATTATATCTAACTTGATCCGATCTATCTTAATCTAACATATGTCTTAACCAAACTTAATCTAATATTCTTTATTAAGTTCAACCTAATTATTCATAATAAACTTAGTTTACTTTAACTTGGTCTGACTCAACCTATTTTCATCTTATTCATTTCAACTCAATCCGATTTATCTTGATTTGACCTCTCTCAACTTAACATGCGTTATTCCATCCTATTTCACTTTGATTTTACTTGACCCATATTGATCCACCTAATACAACGAACCCGACTTGTTCCAATATGACCAAACTCATCTTGATCAGGTATAACTCAACCTAGACAATGTGACTGGACTTGAATTAGTCTTTTTGACTTGATCAAACTTATTCTAACTATGTCTAACCTTACTAGTCTTTACTTCTAATTTGATCTGACTTGATTCATTCATTTATGGATAGTCTTTACAAGATCAATCCATTGGAGTGAACATCAAATACACAATAAAATTGACTTAATTGACAAGTATGATAATATTATTTTTGTACTTGATAGTAATTGAAATATTTTATCTAAATAAAATTAAAATTATCTCATTCAAACTAATCATTTAAAAATTTAAATAATTCTAAATAAAATAAAATAAATTTAATGTATTTGAATTGATTGAAAATGATAAAAATTTACTACCTAATAAAGGCTAAACTTTTTTTTTTCTTCTTTCATTCAAATTATGATTTAGAATCTAAATTTATACCGAACATAGCTTAATTATAGTTCTAATTAATAAAAAAAAAATAGCATTTAGTAGCAACGTTCAAAGTAATAAACTAGAGTAACCAGTATATATAGTCTTTAAAAACACTGAATAAGAATCATTACAACTTGATAATACGACTGAGTAGATGAATTAATTAACACGTAATTAATCTAACTAAATATGTAGATATGAAATAGAAGATATGTGATTCATTAAATATGGAAATTAAAAATTTATAAATTTTAAAAAATCAATGAGTAATGGGACTTTTTTTCATAAATAATACTATTTTTAAAAATATTTCCCAAAATAGCACATCTGGAACATTATTTACACAACTAGCACTCTTTACTGTTCACGTATTAAAATAATCGTTTATTTTATATTATGATCGATTATTTCGCGCAATCAACTCTGCTCAAGCGAAGAAACCCCTCGCTTGAGCGAGGAAATCTATAACAAAGGGGTAATATTGGGTCAATTCTCGCTCAAACGAAGAAACCCTTCGTTTGAGCGAGGAAATCTGTAACAAAGGGGTAATCTCGGGTCAATTTTCGCTCAAGCGACAGGTATTTTCGCTTGAGCGAGAAGTGATTAAAATATGTGGTGACCCAAGTTGCGTTATGTGGCTAACTGCGTTGGACGTTTAGCCTGGGGTCAATTCTCGCTCAAGCAATGAGTTACTTCGTTATGTGTCACTTTTAAGAGCGGTTAATATTTTAACCGCTCTTAAAAGTGAACATATAATAGCGGTTCCACGTTAACCATTATCTAAAATATACTTTTAATAGTGGTTAGTTCTAGAATCGCTATCTAAAATCTCGGGTCAATTCTCACTCTAGCGACGGGTATTTTCGCTTGAGCGAGAAGTGATTGAAATATGTGGTGACCCAAATTGCATTATGTGGCTAACTGCGTTGGACGTTTAGCCTGTGGTCAATTCTCGCTCAAGCGATGAGTTACTTCGCTCGAGTGAGAATTGATTGGGTAACTGCGTTGGACCGTGGTCAATTCTCGCTCAAGCGACACATCCATCGCTGGAGCGAAAAAATTTATAATCGATTATAATTTAAACTAATCGATCATAATTTTAAAATAATCGAATATACAAAATTATGATCGATTATTTCTCTCTCGCTCAAGCAAAGAAACTTCGCTTAAGCGAGGAGTGTTGAGGTGTAAAGATCGGTCAAAGATAGGGAACTTCCTTGCAACTTCCTGGTCAAAGGAAGGCTACTTCCTTGCAACTTCCTGGTCAAAGGAAGGGAGCTTCCTTGCAACTTCCTGGTCAAAGGAAGGGAGCTTCCTCTCAACTTCCTCTCAAGAAGGATTTGTTTGGCTATAAATACCTCATTTTGTAACCTCATTTGTATCCAATCCAAGTGTGAAGTAAGAGTAGAGAGAGTGTATTCATACGGGCTTGTGTGAGTTGTAACATTCGGTTTATCCTCTTATTCTAGTTCATTCTCCTGGCTTGGTTCGCCCTCAGATGTAGGATTTAATCCGAATCGGGTTAACAAATATTCGTGTCTTTTATTGATCTCACATTGGTGTATTATTATTATTCCATCTTATCCGACCTTATTTCCCAACAACTCGGTATCGAGCCGGGTTCTTGGAGATAAGATGGAGGGAAAGATTCAAGTCGAACGGTTCAATGGTTCCGACTTTGGATTCTCGGCGAATGCAAATGGAGGCTTACCTATACGGGAAGGACCTCTACGCACCTCTTGGGGAAAAACCCGAGAAGATGAGCGATGATGAATGGAAGGTGCTCGATCGGAAGGCGATGAGTGCTATAATTCTTTCGCTCTCTCGAACGTCGCCTACCATGTGAAGGGAGCAAAAAGCACGAAGGAGGTCTTGCAGATACTCGCCGACATGTATGAAAAACCATCGGCAATAAACAAGGTGATGCTCGATGAAAAAGCTGTTCAAATTGCAAATGGAGGAGCGAAAGTCGGTGGCCGATCATCTCAACGATTTCAACCAACTCACTACGCAGGTTGGCATCGAGTGGATATTTCGTTTGATGATGAGGTAAAAGCCCTAATCTTGCTCTCATCATTGCCGGACAGTTGGGACGTGGCTGTTACTTCGGTGAGCACTTCTTCTGGCAAGGAGAAGATGAAGTTCGACAACATAAGAGATATGATGTTGAACGAGGAGACCCGCAGAAATCAGGCGGGTGGGTCGTCTGGCTCAGCCCTACATACAGAGTCCAGAGGGAGACCCGAAACACGAGGGAAAATCCGTGGGAGGTCAAAATCCAGGGGAAGGAATAAAGGCAAGAAAGAGATGGTGTGTTGGAACTGCGAGAAGCCTGGGCATATGAAAAGCGAATGCCGGGCACCAAGGAAAGACAAAGAAGGTCGGACATCCAATGCCGCGACGGAGGACACGACGGATGCACTCTTGTTGAGTGTGAGAAGCTCGCTCGATGACTGGATCGTGGACTCAGGGGCCTCATTTCACTCATGCAGTAGCAGAGACATCATGGAGCCATACACCG